ATGCCCCACCCAGTAATCAAGTCATTTTTCCTGTAAGGTGGCAAAACGTCAAGATTCATTTTAGCAGAGAAATGACTTGTTTTTCAAGGCAATCCCTTAGGCCTCTAAAACAGCATAGGAATTGACTGTAGTTGATCATGACTCACCCATACAGCTTAACGCTTGATTAAGTTTTCACTGATTAGAATTTTAAAATTATTTTACCCTTCACAGTGCCTTGCACAGAATAGTTACTAAATAAAAAACGTGGTTATTCAATAGATGTCAACAAATTCTTAACTCCTCCCAAGCTGATTGTTTTGAAACCGAAAGTGCTGGTATAGAGTTAGTATACTTTTTCAGAGGAAGAAAATAGCCAAAACAAATATAGTGTTGTTACCATAAAAGAAAATCAATATTTAAGGTCTTAAGTAAAAGGAAGTGTTTGACATTTGTGGGCTTTCTTTAACAAAGACATAGGGGCCCAGACAGGGTTGGCTGAATATTTGTGATGCTCTCAGTTTATAGACACAGCCCAAGCCCAGTGAAAGTATTTTGAATGTACAAGATGTTTTAAAAAATGTTTTGAGTGTACAAGAGACAAGATGAAGAAGACAAGTTTGCTTTTAATAAAGCAAAATAGAGACAATTCAACTATAAAAGGAGAATTCAAAATTTAGATGGGGCTTGATAAAGTGAAACTGGATAAATCTTAAAGGTCTTGGAAAATCTAAGGCCTCAGTCTAGAAAGAAAGAGTAACTGCTTACTGAAGCAGAACTGAGTGAGTGGAGACATATGGAATAAATGTTCAAGCAAAGCCCCAAATCAAATAATATAAATGAGTTCAAAAAATAGCAGTACACTTTAACAAAGAAAGTTGAGATCAAAAGATGTAGCAATAAAGCTCATAAAAGAAACTGCGATAACTAGATAAGAGCAGATTTGGGGTCAGATTGTCCGTTTGTGCCTAGGTATGTTTTTCTTTTTATCATGGCATACTGTAGTTTGAAGGTGCCTTCAGATGTGTGAATGAGTCCCTTGGGCTTTGCAAGCAAGCTTTTTGTGCTACCTAAGGCTCCTGATTATGATAAGGAACGTTTCATTCATCTGGCCCCACACTCTTGTCATACTTAAAAAATGGTTCCTGCAAGTGGTAAAATAGAGCAATTATCATGTTCATCCATGTCTCCTGGTACCTTATTCAGGAAGGCAGATAGCTAGGCAAAGCTATTACCCAGAAGTATCGACCACAAAGTATAAACGTCTCTTAAGATGATGGCCATGGTGACAGTAGGGCCAAGTGAATAGTTAAACAAAAAAAACACAGTGGCAATTTTATAGATCACCATCTATCCTCAAAGCCGTTGCATTCATAGTACTCTGCCAATGACATATTTGTCACATAAACAAGAGGCTGTTGTTCCCAATGTTTGCCCTCAAGTTGTTAGTTGGCTGCTGACCTCATAATCTGCACAGCTGTGGCATCCCAATATGTTGTCATGAAACAGATTGTGATGTCTTAATTGATCACTTTTAGAGGTTACAATTGTCAAGTGAGACCAGTATGCTGATTCTTATTAGTTAAATTAAGCCTTGTTACAGCAGAACTGGCTAATGCACTATAATGAATAGGAAATCCAATGTAATTTGCTGCATTTTATAGATTAGAACACATCCAAGGCCTTTTCTTTTTCTTCTTTTTGATTGTTTAAATATGTGGAGGCTATACCCCAACCATGCTTTTCTTATACAATGAAGCAACTTCTTGGAATAGTAAATGGAATGTAACCCCCCCGCAACATATGTGTCTTGGTGTTAAGTTGGAGTATGCCATATGACACACACAATTTAAATCAGGCATTGATTTGCATGACTCTAAGTGAATTGGAGGACTCAGCTAAGAGTAATAGATGTCAGGCTCTGCTGCAAATCGTCTGGCAAGAAAAATATTATGTTCTTCCCTGTTGTCTAAAAGAAGGTAGGCTTCTAAGAGGATGAGGAAGGGTCTTAAATCAATGCCTGCCCCCAAAGGGCAACTCCTTGTGCCTCCATTTTGGTCATTGGTGAAGTCTTCACTATGACACTAACCTATAAAACCCTGTTTTCCAAGCGTCCTGATACACTCACTCACCTTGTATGGACCTATTCTCATCTGGTGCCTGGACCACCTGCTACTCACATTAGGTTGAGAAACCTTACTGTGGCAGGGGTGATGAACAGTCCCTTTAATAGCAGAGTTTTAAGACAACTCATAAACGGACCTTTGTGTATTCTGCAAGTCAAGTTTTTTTCAAAAGTTTTATCTTTGACATTTGAAATAAACAGATGCCTTTGTCAATCTAGCACATTTTACAGGAGCACAAACAAAAATGAAATCAAGGAAACCAATTTAAGTTAATGTAATAACTGTTAGCATAAAAATACAGCAGGAAGCACAAGGATGTTCATCAAAGCACTTTTTTTTATAGTAGAAAAAAAAACAGATAATAGCCCAGCAGTAGGCAAATTGGTACATATGGTATATCCATATAATGGAATCTTGAGCAGGCATTAAAACTATCTCTAAGGGCTGACATAGAGATGTTGATGATTTTTGGTTAACAGTGTCTCATTAAGTGAAAAACCAAGGTAGCCAAATTGTATAAATGGTATTTCTCAACCTGTCTAAAATAATATCTGTAGAAAGGAAAAAAATATGACAAAAATAGGTGTAGTATTGTTGAGTGATGAGAATATGGGGAATTTTTAATCATTTTATCCATTCTTTTTAGTTTTTCAAGTTTCCCATATTACTTGGCTAATTTTGGAGAAAACGTTTTTAAAGCAGTTTGAATAGTTTGTTAAAACATTTGATTAAGAGTCTGCGTTCAGGCACCTCAAATCTAAATGGTCTGAATACGAACGAGCTCCTGATCTTCCTTCCAGATCCTGTTCTCCCAAAGGCTTCTGTCCTCAGTTGAAGGAAATTTCAGCCTCCCAGTTACTCAGGCTGGAAACTTGGAGCTATCTGTCTGTGACTCCTCTCTTTATTTCACATCCCACCTTCAATCAATTGGCCAATTCAATAGGTTGTGCCTTCGGAATATTTCCAGAACGTGAGCAGCTTCTCTCCGACCCCTTTGTTACTCAGCACGACCCACATCACTGTCCTCTCTTGCTGGAGCAGAGAGCAGCAGCCTAATTCCCTGCTTCAAGCCTGGCCTGATTTTTATCAAGTTTCCACACAGCTGCCAAAGCTGTTAAAATGTAACTCAGTTCAGTCATTCCTCTGTCCAGAGCCCTTCAATGGCACTTCATCTCGCACAGAATGAAAGGCCCTAAGTGATTTCTCCCCTGCTATGTGTCTGGCCCCAGAATCTACTTGGCTCTCCACGCTGGCTCTGCCAACCTACATTGCTCTTCCTTTTATTCCTTTCCTTCCTCAGGGTATTTGCATTGGTTTTTGCATGTGCTCTGCAGGAATGCTTTTCTCCTAAACATGCTCATAACCTCCTTTCCTGCTTTAATTTTTTCTATTTAGCATACTTAGCAACATCTAACATATTATATGGTATGAGAGTTTATTTATTGCCTTTCTCCTGCACCCAACTGGAATATAGGCTCTATGAGGACAGGGAGTTTTGTTTATAGTTTTCACAGCTGAACTGTAACCCCTGGAACTGTGCCTGACACAGTTAGGTGCTCTATGACTGCTGTGAGTGCCTACCGTTGATAGGAACAGTGATCTGTTACAGTTGTATGATGAATAGCCAGTTGATTTTTATGAGGTATCTTACATCCCAATGTAATTATTTTAATTTGATTGCTTTCATATCCTAATTTAACCAGTTAAGCCCCTAATGTATTCCAGGGACTTCCGGGGAGTGGGGTTAAAATGAAGAAGATAGACATTGTTCTGACATAGTTTATTGTCTAGTGGACAGACATAATTAAACAATACACTCCAACACAATCCATAAAAGAAAGACAGTACCCAGTTGAGAGAAGCTACTCACCAACAGGAACAATTAAAATTCAGGATCAAATGTCAGATACAAAATGTGGAATCTCATAGAAGAGAGATGAGAAAGATGTATATCAACAAAGCACATTGCTTCTTTATTACTGTTTTAAAAGAGAGGGTGACTGTGTTAGAGGGAAGCAGCAAAAGTAATTTATTTGGTTGTTGTAGGAGAAACGAAAGCAAAGGATAATGGAAAGGGCAGTGGGCTTAGAGTTAGAGGATCTAGATTTGAATCCAACACTGCAGCTTTATCATCTCCAACTCCTGAAAGGTGATGCTTAACTTCTCTGAGTCTCTGTTATCTCCGTGGTTAAATAAAATGGGAGAAAGGGACTTAGACTCGCTCTAGAGACTGTCTGTGTAGATGCCTTCCCATCTGAAAGAAGGCCTTTCCTTATCCATCTAGAATAAACATAAACACAAAAGCCAATTAACATGATGACTTGAGGGAATCTCTGAAGGGTCTCTGTAATATTTCATCTAGCCTGGGACTTACTTTAAATGGTTATGGGTTCTGAAAATCTTTTTCATAACCTCATTGTTTGCTGAACTCTTCATATTTTTATCAATTGCTTATAACCACTCATGCATGTAAGTAAAATACATAATTGACCCCCAGGTATGCTTCTTTTGCATTTCTTTTATAGCCACCAACCTTATTACAAATATCAAATCTTTTCATGTTTTCTTATTTCACCTGAAATTATAGTCCTGAATAAAAAATATTTATCATTTAGAATGGAAAACAAATAACTATTGTTTGGCTATAATTTTAAACCAGCACATGGGGATTGTAGAAATTAAAATTATTTTTTGACAGCATACGTTTTCTTTCTTAACAGAAGCATGGTGTTAACTTGATAATCTGTGGCGGAGACTGTGGGTTTGGTATTTGTAGGTACTGTAGAGATATTTCTGTATTGTAATTATATGGTATCTGAACTTTTGTTTTACCAGAGGAACTTATTTGACTTAGTGGAATTTACTAATTGGCATGCCTTCTTTCTCTATTTTCAGCCTTTGCAACTGGACTGTGACCTTTGTGCCATAGTGTCAAACTCAGGTCAGATGGTTGGCCAGAAGGTGGGAAACGAGATAGATCGATCTTCCTGCATTTGGAGAATGAACAATGCCCCCACCAAGGGTTATGAGGAAGATGTCGGGCGCATGACCATGATTCGAGTTGTGTCCCATACCAGCGTTCCTCTTTTGCTAAAAAACCCTGATTATTTTTTCAAGGAAGCGAATACTACTATTTATGTCATTTGGGGCCCTTTCCGCAATATGAGGAAAGATGGCAATGGCATCATTTACAACATGTTGAAAAAGACAGTTGATGTCTATCCGAATGCCCAAATATATGTGACCACAGAGAAGCGCATGAGTTACTGTGATGGAGTTTTTAAGAAGGAGACTGGAAAAGACAGGTGAGTCTTCTCTGAAGCAGCTTTATTGTCTTTTATTATCTTTTATGCTAAATCTTTGCTGATTCCTTTTGCAGGATATGAAATGAACAGTTATTCTTTTAAACTGATTGTTATATGTTCTGACTATTATGATTACTTGATGAGCCAGCCTGAGGTCTCATTTATTCCACCTATACTACCTTCTGTTCTTTCCATTCTGATTGGTTTGAGTCTCCAAGAAACACTAGATACTTCCCCAAAGTATCTTTAGATCTTTTCTTATTTTGTTACATTTGCTATTGACTAAGTTGGAGTTCAGCTGGAAAAGGAAGTCTAAACATGTCTGCTTCAAACCCTAGTAATGGTAAGGAACTTTAGGACTATGCATTAGTCTAAACTCCTCTGGGAATTTTGCCAAAATTTTACCTGAGATCACAAACAGGACAGGCTATAGATTCTCCAGTAAGATTGTTTTATGTAGCTTCTCGCATGCAAATAGACACTGTGATCCTGAACATCGTAATTTGGTATTGAGCATGCTTAGCAGAATACCATATTGAAATTACACATCGCTTAAAATTATTAGCAGTTGGATTATTTTAAAGAAATCAGATAACAAATTTGCATTTTTGTTACATCCATATTTTCTCTGTAGCATTCTGTAAACTATACTTCTTACTTTCTTTTCTTGAAGCCTCATTCTTTCTCCTCCCCTTCCTTCTGTTTCCTCTCTTTGCTTCCTTTCTAGCTCCCTCATCTCTCCTGTAACAGGATTGCGTGCCATTTTTTCCTCCTCTTTGGAAAGACAACTATTAAAATGGAGAAAACAGGAATTACCAATCAGTCAATCTTGGTTCATGTATCTAGCTCTAATAAAGAACTGCTAAAGAAAGATATTGAAATCAATGGCTAAAGTTTTAAATTATCTGTTAATTTTGCTTATTTGTGCAATATCTTGGATAAATTGTGCATCTGTAAGTTCCAATATTAGCATTCTAATTTCTTTAAAATGTATGCATTTCACTATCCAATATCATCAAATCTAAGCTTTTAACCATATTGAGGTATGTACTTAAGGGTTGCAGTTTCTGATATCTCTTGATATAACTTGAATGCTGATGATTATTGTAAAATCCTAGGTGGATCAGCTCTCCTATTGGTAATGTGGGTTGATCTGAATTTAACATTTTCTATTTCTGAGCACCAAAACTACACAGCTTCATGTGAAATGCAAGACAGAAATAGCCATGAAATACTAGTTTCTCCTACTGTATTAGTTAGCAAGAAGAATCCCAAAGGTGAGATTTGAATCAATGTAGGATAAACTGTCCAAAATGGCAGGCAGTAGAGATGAAAGGAATAGGTATGGTGCGTCAAAGAAATGTGGTCCTGTGTCTCACTATTCTGTATAAATATGATGCCTATTCACAAAGGGCTTTGGAAATTTCTGGTATCTCACTAGCCCAGAGCACTGAAATTAATGAGATGTATTTGGTTTTTCATTAGTTAGAGTCAGCCCTCAGGGTATCACCCAGATATAACTATAAGCCCTAGAGTCATTTGGGGGGGTATCAGAGAAGAGCTTACCATGCGGTTGGCTCATGTTTTTCTGTGTTTATTTCACATTAACTTTTGATGTGAGCTTTCAGGGAGACAACACATCGCATATGTGTAAGTTTTACAAGAACTGGGAGAGAATAGCTTTGGGAGATCCTTTTCTTCGTGGCCATGATAGAGAAAACTGCATAGTGGAAAAATTACTAGGTAATTTTACTCATTTGATAAAGTTAATTTTCAGGGTATCATTTGATTGGTAGAGTTACCAAAAAGAGAGTTAAAGAAACCAAAATACAGTTTTCGTTCATGGTGTGTACTTATCTTTTTCACTGAGTCTGTTTCCGTCTGGTTGTCTCACTTACTATTCCAACCAGACAGGAGAAGACAACTATGCCAGTGTTTTAGAAATAAGCAGAATGGGTGATTTATTTATTTATTTTTTATAGGTGGATAGATAGATTTTTTATTGTACTTCAGGTTCTGGGGTACATGTGCACATCTGGCCAGAACTTCCAATACTATAGGTACATACATGGCAATGTGGTTTGCTGCTTCCATCCCCCTATCACCTATATCTGGCATTTCTCCCCATGTTATCCCTCCCCAATCCCCCAACCCTGCTCTCCTTCCCCTAGTCCCCCCCAACAGACCCCAGTGTGTGATACTCACCTCTCTGTGTCCATGTGTTCTCATTGTTCAACCCCCATCTATGAGTGAAAACATGCCATGTTTGATTTTTCTATTCTTGTGTCAGTTTTCTAGAATGATGGTTCCCAGATTCATCCATGTCCCTACAAAGGACATGAAGTCATCGTTTTTTATGGCTGCATAGTATTCCATCATGTATATGTGCTACATTTTCCTTGTCCAGCCTATCATCGATGAGCATTTGGGTTGATTCCAGGTCTTTATTGTAAACAGTGCCACAATGAACATATGTGTGCATGTGTCTTTATAATAGAATGATCTATAATCCTTTGGATATATAACCAGTAATGGGATTGCTGGATCAAATGGAATTTCTATTTCTAGGTCCTTGAGGAATTGCCACACTGTCTTCCAGAATGGTTGAACTGATTTACACTCCCATCAACAGTGGAAAAGTGTTCATATTTCTCCACATCCTCTCCAGCATCTGTTGTCTCCAGAGTTTTTAATGACTGCCATTCTAACTGGCATGAGATGTTACCTCAATGTGGTTTTGATTTGCATTTCTCTAATGACAAGTGATGATGAACATTCATATATGTCTTCTTTTGAAAAGTGTCTGTTCCTGTCCTTTGTGTACTTTTGAATGGGTTTGTTTTTTCTTGTAAATCTGCTTTAGTTCTTTGTAGATTCTGGATATTAGCCCTTTGTCAGATGGGTAGATTGCAAAATTTTTTTTCCATTCTGGTGGTTGCCAGTTCACCCTAATGATTGTTTCTTTTGCTGTACAGAAACTCTGGAGTTTAATTAGAGCCTGTTTGTCCATTTTGACTTTTGTTGCCAATGCTTTTGCTGTTTTAGTCATGAAGTCCTTGCCTATGCCTATGTCCTGAATGGTTTTGCCTAGGTTTTCTTCTAGGGTTTTTATGGTGTTAGGTCTTTTGTTTAAGTCTTTAATCCATCTGGAGTTAATTTTAGTTTAAGGTGCCAGGAAGGAGTCCAGTTTCTGTTTTCTGCACATGGCTAGCCAGTTATTCCAACATATTTATTAAACAGGGAATCCTTTCTCCATTGCTTGCTTTTGTCAGATCTGTCAAAGACCAGATGGTTGTAGACGTGTGGCATTGCCTCCAAGGCCTCCATTCTATTCCATTGGTCTATATCTCTGTTTTGGTACCAGTACCATGCTGTTTTGATTACTATAGCCTTGTAGTATAGTTTGAAGTCAGGTAGCATGATGCCTCCAGCTTTGTTCTTTTTGCTTAGGATTGTCTTGACTATGCAGGCTCTCTTTTGGTTCCATATGAAGTTTAAGGTGGATTTTTCCAGTTCTATGAAGAGGGTCTTAGGTACTTTGATGGGGATAGAATTGAATCTATAAATTACTTTGGGCAGTATGGCCATTTTCACAATATTGATTCTTCCTAATCATGAACATGGAATGTTTTTCCATGTGTCTGTGTCCTCTCTTATTTCCTTGAGTAATGGTTCATAGTTCTCCTTGAAGAAGTCCTTTACATCCTCTGTTAGTTGTATTCCTCGGTATTTTATTCTCTTTGTAGCAATTGTGAATGGGAGTTCACTCTTCATTTGGCTCTCTTTTAGTCTGTTATTGGCGTATAGGAATGCTTGTGATTTCTGCATATTGATTTTGTATCCTGAGACTTTGCTGAAGTTGCTTATCAGTTTAAGGAGATTTGGGGCTGCAAATAGAGACAATTTGATTTTCTCATTTCCTAACTGAATACCCTTTATTTCTTTTTCTTGCCTGATTGCTCTGGCTAGAACTTCCAATACTATGCTGAATAGGAGTTGTGAGAGAGGGCATCCTTGTCTAGTGCCAGGTTTCAAAGGGAATGCTTCCAGTTTTTGCTCATTCAGTATGATATTGGCTGTGGGTTTCTTGTAAATAGTTTTTATTATTTTGAGATACGTTCCATTGATACCTAGTTTATTGAGAGTTTTTAACATAAAGGGCTGTTGAATTTTGTTGGAGGCCTTCTCTGGCCTTCTATTGAGATAATCATGTGGTTTTTGTCTTTGGTTCTGTTTATGTGGTAAATTATGTTTATAGACTTACATATGTTAAACCAGCCTTGCATCCCCAGGATGAAGCCTACCTGGTCATGAAGGATAAGCTTTTTGATATGCTGTTGCAATTAGTTTGCCAGTATTTTATTGAAGGTTTTTGCATCTATGTTCATTATGGATATTGGCATGAAGTTTTCTTTTTTTCTTGAGTCTCTGCCAGGTTTTGTTATCAGGATGATGTTGGTGTCAAAAAATTATTTGGGAAGGATTCACTATTTTTGCATTGCTTGGAATAGTTTCAGAAGAAGTGGTACCAGCTCCTCTTTGTACATCTGGTAGAATTCAGCTGTGAACCCATCTGAACCTGGGCTTTTTTTGGTTGGTAGGCTATTAATTGCTGCCTCAACTTCAGCGCTTGTTATTGATCTATTCGGGGTTTCAACTGCTTCCTGATCTAGGCTTGGGAGAGTGCAAGTGTCCAGGAATTTATCCATTTCTTTCAGGTTTACTGGTTTATGTGCATAGAGTTGTTTGTACTAATCTCTGATAGTAGTTTGTATTTCTATGGAATCAGTGGTGATATCCCCTTTATTGTTTTTTATTACATCTATTTGATTCTTCTTTTCTTTTTTATTAACCTGGCTAGCAGTCTGTGTATTTTGTTGATCTTTTTGAAAAACCAGCTCCTGGATTTCTTGATTTTTTAAAGGTTTTTTAATGTCTCTGTCTCCCTCAGCCTGCTCTGATCTTAGTTATTTCTTGTCTTCTACTAGCTTTTGAGTTTT